AAAAAAAAAACCAATAGTAGAAAAATTCTCTTCCTTCTCTTATCTATACCTTTTGTTCTAAGAGTGCTCTGCGAAGGGAGACCCTCTGTTCCAGCTCTCGAAGCTCTCGATCATGTTGGGCCTCAGCCTGCATCTTGATTTTGCTCTGATATGCATTCAGTAGCTCCAGTTCCTGCTGCAGCTGCATCTTCAAAACCTGGCATTCTGCTTCCTGTGCTTCATCCAAACGCAGCTGAGAGAAAGAAGAGAAACTGATATATTCTACTGTGAACTAACCATTCATAACTTATAGCAGAGTGAGAGAAGACAGACTACGTTTTTGTAAGCTATATAAGAGCTCTTTCTTGTAGTCTGGTGTGAACATCCCTGAAAAAGAAAGATAATAACCAATACTGCATGACAGAAGATGCTATCATAAGCTGTTCTAAAGATGCCTGAATAACTATACTTTTTCTTAAGAAAAATCTAGAATATGATTGGGTAATATAAAGTGCTCAGTCTCTCCTTCCCTAGTAGAATCAAAGTCAATAAGCACAGTACACAAGCCTGATCTGGGTAGCTGCTTATTTTTGTTCAGTTCAATATCTAAAACTGAGTCTTACATATTGACATGGTTACATTTTTAATAGTTAGAAGTACCTATACAATATCAATTTTACCTCCTGGTTTGCAAATCTAAAATACTGATTATTTGGTCCTTTAAGAAAATACTTGCGCCGGGTGGTGGTGGCCCATGCCTTTAATCCCAGATTAAATCGGGAGGCAGAGGCAGGAGGATCTCTGTGAGTTCAAGGCCAGCCTGGTCTACAGAGCAAGATCCAGAAAAGGTGCAAAGCTACACAGAGAAACCCTGTCTTGAAAAACCAAAAAAAAAAAAAAAAAAAAAAAAAAAACAAACAAACAAACAAAAAAAAAAAAAGGGGGGGGGGGAGGGCGCAGAGCTGGAGTGATGGCTCAGTGGTTAAGAGCACCAATTGCTCTACCAGAGGACCCGGGTTCAATTCCCAGCACCCATATGGCAGCTAACAACTGTCTGTAACTCTAAGATCTGACACCCTCACATAGACATACATGCATACACCAATGCACATAAAATAAAGACAAATTGTTTAAAAAAAAAAAAAAGAAAGAAAAAGAAAATACTTGCACAGTATTTCATCTGTGTGCTCCAAAGTAACCATTTAGATTCGTATATACATAAGTATGTTTTGCCTACAGTTTACTCACCTGGTCTTTTTAAGTTGTTGGAATACACACCTGCGGGGAACCTTTATAAGATCTTATGTTTAAATATATCAGTGAAATTCTATATACACCATGGTTTTTCCAAGCAATGCTAAGAATAGGAAGAATATGGATGACCACTATTTTTTCCTGTGCTATTAAAGAGCTATCATTGCCAACTTATCTTTTAATTGCGAGGGTTTCATTTAGGTGGTACAAAGAAAAGGGTACTAAATTTGTTTTGCCTAAACAAAGCAAACTCACAGCTTGTGTGGAGAGCATTTCATTAATGCTATGATCATACTGCTCAGCCAAGATGGCTAACTTCCGAGTCTGTTCCTCCTTGAGTCTCTTCAGAACGGCTTTGTGCTCACTCTTTGGTGTAGTCTCCAGTAGGTGGTTTCTTAATGCTTTGTACTGTCTGGTTTGAATTTTGCATGTATCCTGAAACTGCTTTTTTATCTGGAGTTCTTTAGACTGGAAAGAAAAAAAACAAACAAAAAAATATATATATGGAGAGAGAGAGAGAGAGAGAGAGAGAGAGAGGGAGAATATCTTAACATATAGCATTTGGCATAGTGTATACTTACTTACTTATATATAAAGTCAAGAAGAAAAAAGAAGAAAACCACAATGTCATATGATAAGACTGCAGCTATTTTTTATACTTGGCAAACATTCACGTCATAAACCTAAATTTCATCTCATAAATCAAATTATGGTAGTTATACAGCAAGGCAGAATTTTACCAGGTATCTTGAGGCAGAAAACAAAGCATTGTTTCTTTGTTTATTTAGAACGCTCTATTCTAATTTCTTTTCTTTCCATGATAATCTCAACTCTAACCACAATCTGTAACAGATCCTACTTTCTGTGGAATCTATGTGCCAAACTTTAGATTGATTTTGAAGTGTGCAATAGTAAATGATTATTCCAATTGTCTTTTCTTTAAGACAATAAGCTAGACAGAATCAAACATTAGTTCACTCCACCTGCCTTACAATATTAAAGTCTGAACCTGAAGCATCATACATGTCAGCAAACACTCTACCATCAATTCACATTCCAACCCCTTTTAAAAAAATGTTTTATTTTGAAACACGGTTATGCTAAGTTGACCAAGTTGTCCTTGAAGTCCTCCCACTTCAGTGTGCTTCAGCCTACTCAGTGCTGGGACTACAGGAGGCATGTGCCACCTGCAGTAATGGCTTACTTTATTCTTTTCTATTTTTATTGATTTATCTTTGGTTTTATGAGACAGGGTTTCTCTGTGTAACCTTGGTTGTCTTGGATCTTACTCTGTGGACTAGGCTGGCTTCGAACACACAGAGATCCACCTGTCTCTGCCTCCTAAGTGCTGGGATTAAAAGTGTGCCAAACCACTGCATGGCGAGATACATTTCTATAAGGTATGTATGTTAGTTCAGCCTAGAAGTGAGAATATATTCACTTACTATACTGAAACAGAACCCACAGTTAAAAAAATATTTTTTGCCATTATAAATAACGGCAGATATAAATTAGTTGATTCAATATACACGTCAAGAATACAAATATAGCAGCCGGGCGGTGGTGGCGCACGCCTTTAATCCCAGCACTCGGGAGGCAGAGCCAGGCGGATCTCTGGGAGTTCGAGGCCAGCCTGGGCTACCAAGTGAGCTCCAGGAAAGGCGCAAAGCTACACAGAGAAACCCTGTCTCGAAAAACCAAAAAAAAAAAAAAAAAGAATACAAATATAGCTGGGCGTTTGTGGTACATGCCTTTAATCTCAGCACTCGGGAGGCAGAGCCAGGAGGATTTCTGTGAGTCTGAGGCCAGCCTGGGCTACAGAGTGAGTTCCAGGACAGACTCCAAAGCTACACAGAGAAACTCTATCTCAAAAAGAGGAAAATGAATACAAACATAAACCCAAGTTTAGCTGGGGATTAGTTCAGAAGTAGAGCACCTGCCTAGCAGTGAAGTATAATTAAATGAAAAGTTACCTATTTGTCCAGGAAAAGAAAATGTCTCTATTTCCACATTATAACATTAATATACATATATATGTATTTCTCACCAACCGAGGAACCATGTCCTGGCCATATGCTAGGGCTCATTATGTGAAGAAGGGTAAAGAAATGGAAAACTAGGTTGGGGATTTGGCTCAGTGGTAGAGCGCTTGCCTAGCAAGCGTAAGGCCCTGGGTTCGATCCTCAGCTCAAAAAAAAAAAGAAATGGAATTTTTTTTTTGTTGTTGTTTTTGTTTTTGGAGACAGGGTTTCCCTGTGTAGCTTTGCGCCTTTCCTGGAGCTCACTTGGTAGCCCAGGTTGGCCTCGAACTCAGAGATCTGCCTGGCTCTGCCTCCCGAGTGCTGGGATTAAAGGCGTGCGCCACCACCGCCCGGCTAAGAAATAGAAAATTATAAAAGACTTTTGGTTTAGCCAAGCTTAGTATCATTGCTCTTAAATACTGGTTTGGTTTGGTTTGGTTGGCGACAACGTCTCACCATGTAACTCTGGCTGGCCTGGAACTTGATATATTCAGGCTGACTCTGCTTTCAGAGTGCTGGGACTAAAGAGCCACCACACTCAGCTTAAATACTGTTCTGGATCAACATTCTACCAAGACCTTCTAGACAAGAACAAATAATGAAATTTAGACATTATCTTCTACCTCTGTGTAACAGTCTCTTCTTTAAAATGTTAATCATCCCATAACATGGAGAGTGCTCCTTAAAATTTTCTTTATCATAAATAAAATTAAATTATTGTTGGCAGACACTATAATACCAGCACTTGGGATGCTGAGGTAGGAAGATTAAGGCCCATCTGGACTTCATAGAGAGACTGCTGCACAGACCAAGAGGAAGAGCCAGATTTGGCACATGCCTGTAATCTTAGTACTTAGGAAAGGTAAGAGGAGTAGGAATTAAGGCTATTCACAGCTACACACAATGGTTTTGAGACCAGCTTGGACTATGAGATTGTGCCCTGAAAAGCAAAAAAAACTGAGAAACACAAAAAATGTCCCTTACTTAACTGCTGACACCTCCACACCCCCCCCAAAAAAAAGTCAGAGCAGTCTTAAGAGCACTAGGTACTCTTGCAGAGGACCTGAGTTCAGTTCCCAGCACTCATATGGCAGCTCATACACCACCTGTAAGTCTAGTTTCAGAGGATCCAAGCCCTCTTCTGGTCTCTGAGGGCACCAGCCACATACATACATGTAGGCCAACATTCACACACATAAAATGGAAATAAAAAACCAAAAGTGAAACCAAAGCCCCAGAGAAATATTAATAATCAGACCAAGAAAAACTACATCCTTCGATGTTGATTCAACAGAAAATGAGATGGGAAGCTGGGTGGTAGTTGCACATGCCTTTAATCCCAGCACTAGGCAGGCAGTGGCAGGTGGATGTCTGTGAGTTTAAGGCCAGCCTGGTTTACAGAGTGAGTTCCAAGACAACCAAGGCTGCACAGAGAAATTCTGTCTCAAAAAACCCAAAGAAAGTGAGATGGATTCAAATTATAATTATTTCTACTCATATAATACTAACAAAAAAGTCATCACCTGGAAAGAAGGTTGAAGACATAGAAGAGGTAGTAGTTTTACCTAATCCATTCCACAGAAACAGCACCCTTCTCTCAGAAATCCTAGTCAACATATATATGTACCCAAACTGACGTTTCTCCTCTAGCTCAGCGTCTCACAGAAAACTACAGGTGCACAGACACTTATTGGGATATGTTGGTGGTAAACCAAACATTCTGTTGAAACTAAACAAATAAGAGAAACATTTTTTCTTTCATACAAGAGGGAAACCTTACATTCGTCATCAGTAGAAGGTATTCTCCTTAATGTCTGAAATGAGATGGTGAAACATTTCCCTCACTTTCATGTGATGCCTGAGAAAATCAGATTACTTTTTTTAAAAGCTCTCAAACTAAAACGGTTACAGGAAGAAAGGTTCAAGTCGAACAACGCCCTAGGAAAATGGAGTCACATCGGAATTATGGTATGACTACAGTAAATGAATTAGGTGTCATTTTGGTTCATCTCTGGGTACTGCAGACTTTCAAGCTATCATTTCAAAAGCAAATACTATTTTAAAAAATCTTTGGTAGGGTTTACGAACGTAGCTCACTTAGAAGAGTGCTTTCTCAGCATGTATAAATCTCCTGGTTCAGTCCTCAGCACTACGGGGATGTTGGTACATCCCAGCAATTCCATCACCCAGAAGGTTTAGACAGAAATATCAGATTTCAAGGTCATCTTTGGCTACATGATGAGCAAGCTATACTATATGTGACCTCATCTTGAAAACTAAAAGGTGGGGGGGACACTTTGGTGGGCAGTATCTGAACTACAGCCATATGATTCTCTCTCCACTATATAAACAAAGAAATCGGCCGGGAGGTGGTGGTGCAGGCCTTTAATCCCAGCACTCGGGAGGCAGAGGCAGGTGGATCTCTGTGAGTTCGAGGCCAGCCTGGTCTCCAAAGCGAGTTCCAGGAAAGGCGCAAAGCTACACAGAGAAACCTTGTCTCGAGGAAAAAAAAAAAAAGTCATTATGAATTCTAACCTCTTTAAACACTGGCAATCAGCACAACTACTCTGTAAGTGCTTCAGTCTTCTGAGTGCTGGATTAAAGGATGCCATATTTGGCAGAAAAGCAATCTTTTCAACATAAATACTTTGGGACCTGGAGCTAACTGGACATAAAAAAAATTTTAATCTGTAAACAAGTACAGATTATAATCACTGATGAAAACCTTACAGTGAGTGCTTTTTGTTTTGTGTTTTTAAAAACTGATTCAATTACTTCAAATATTCATTCTAAAATATGAAATTTGAAAATTTTCTTAGAATTGTTAAGTTCCATTTGAGCTAAATATTTAAAAAACAATCTTTGTTGGGGTTTAGGAATGTAGGATAAAGGAAGAGAGCAAACTTTTACATTAAATTGTTTTTTTAAAACTTGATTTTATAGTAAAGCTACACAGAGAAACCCTGTCTCGAAAAACCAAAAAAAAAAAACCAAAAAACAAAAAAAAAAAAAAAAACTTGATTTTATAATTATGAGTGTTTTGCCTGCATGAATGTATGTGCACCATGTATTATTCCTGGTGCCTGAAAAGGTTATTGGGTTCCCTGGAACTAGAGCTGCAGATGGTAATGAATCACCATGTCAGTGCTGGGAATCAATTTCAAGTCCTCTGAAATAGCAACCATTGCTCTTAATTGCTGAGCCATCTCTTCAAACTCACTTTTATATTTTTAAATTTTATATAAATCAGCTGGGCGGTGGTAGCACACACCTTTAATGTCAGCATTCAGGGAGGCAGCGGCAGGCAGATCTCTGTGAGTTTGAGGCCAGCCTGGTCCATATAGTTACAGGACAGCCAGAGCTACATGGTGAGACCCTGTCTCAAAACACCAAAAATTTTATATAAATCATATTGACATCAAATTAAGAGTCCCAGACTGAGTTACTTAGAATAAAAAGAGCCGGGCGGTGGTGGCGCACGCCTTTAATCCCAGCACTCGGGAGGCAGAGCCAGGCGGATCTCTGTGAGTTCGAGGCCAGCCTG